AGCGTCTTGTGCAGCATGTTCCACACCACCACATGGCATGGCAGCGTGAAGCAGAGGGAGGTGTACAAAGTACGCATCCGCGTCGTGATTGTTGTGGATGTTGTTTTTGTTATTGTTGTTGATTTCGCCACCAGTGTAGGGGGTAACAACATGGTTTCCTTCTACACAACCGCGCTTCGCCTCCCGCGAGACATCGTTGGCATGCACACACAGCAGCCAGTTTAGGATAATTTGCACAGAATACTATGTGGGTGTGAAGTGTGAACCAACAGGACGCGCGCCATACAAAACATATTGGGAAAATAATCGAAAATTTGAGGGGGAAAAGAAAAATGTTGAGAGCATAAAGTAACGCCATTCCACACGCAAAACTCTCCTTCTCAATTCTATACTACAGTATACAGTGCACTCTGCCTGCAGAAAAGTGGGAATCTGGTGGACTTGAATGGCAGTATGCTCGAGGGGGTAGGTGGGTGGGGGGGAGGGGGGAGGCGTTCGGAGAAGCACTTCCCTTTAGTAGTGTGTCGGTGGGGGGCGCCCCCCGCACCCTCCCTTTGAGACCAGTATACCTTTACTCATGATACAGCTTCTTATTTTATCTTTTATTCAGACCTTGAATGACTGTGCGAGGGGAGGCTGGAGAGGCTGTGTGTGTGTGCGTGTGTGTGTGCACGTGAGTAAGGTTTGAAAGCCCTTGAAAATTTCCAGAAAATCCTCGGGAAAAAATTGAACATTTTCTAGACTCTTGAAGTTTTTCGATGTTTTCCCGGAATTTTTCGGGGATTTCTAGGAAATTTTTGATAAAAGTTTTTAAATTTTCCGGGAAGTTTTGAAATTTATTAACCCTCCATGTGCGTGCGTGCGTGTGTGTGCGTGTGTGTGAGCGTGTCTGTGTGTGTGTGTGTGTGTGCGCACGCGCGTGGCTTTGGAGCGTAGGCTTGCGGGGGCAGCAGAGGCGCGGCTGCGCGGTGCGGGGACGTCTGCCTGTTAACTTTTAATGCCGGCCTAGAGGCCCTGGGGGTGCGTGAGATGCCTCAGTGACCACCAAAGGACACCACCCCGCCCCGCCCCGCCCCGCCCCACCTCGTCCACAGCCACCCCGCCCCCATTGCAGTAGCCGTGCTTTCTCTTCCGACCCACCGCGGCACTGCAATGGTATACACGTGCGACGCTATGTTTCCTGCGGTTACCACCTGACCCGGACACCCTAAGTATGTAAATGTCGCTCACTTGTCACTTGTCGGTGTGTGATTGACATTTGTGGTCGTTGAGGCACCTGAAGTGTGGATTTCATAGGCAAATTTATATCAGTTTTCTCCCTTATTCAGTACGTACGAAAGGGTATTCACACGCCTACAAAGAGTGCAACATTCACACACCGACAAAGTGTGCAACATTCACACACTTACGTTGTTCCAGTGTTGTTGCCAACTATAATCGGACAAAAAATAATCAGCGTAGCACCACGACAATATTTCTGTCTCGTCGGTAGCAAACAATTATTGCATTTTAAAATTTGCAGATTATAGGTTGGACTCTCTCGGGGGAGTAGAAAACTAGTGACTAACAGACATTTTACGACAAACTCGCGTAGTAAACGCGTTTCCTAGTCGGCGCGGCGGCGGCGCGGGAGTTTGTGAAACCTGCAGCAGCAGCGGGGGCGCAGGACCAACTAGTCACTCTACCGTGAAACGAATTCCGAAGGCAAAGCGAAAGCCAAGAGTCGACGAAAAGAGGCGGAGCACGTTACG